TTTTTTTTTTTTAAACAGCTACCAAATCCATGAGCAGTCCAACCAATACTGAACAGTTCTGTTTTTGCAGGTTATCTGGGGTCTTAATCATCTTCTCCTTCATCATCTGTTTCTCTCTTCCTCTTCTCACCTTTTCCGCTTTCTTCCTCCTCTTCATCTTCATCTTCATCTTCATCCTCATCCTCCTCTTCTTCATCAATTTCTCCATCATGTCCAAATTCTTCTTCCTCACTCACTTCATCTTCATCTTCATCCCCATCCACGTCTTCATCCTCATCCTCATCCTCTTCATCATCAAAGTCCTCCTCCTCACCATCCTCATCTTCCTCGTCCTCCTCATCTTCTCCTTCTTCATCCTCCTCCTCTTCATCTACACCATCCACCTCTGCATCTGAATCTGGGGCTTCCCGGTCCTCTCTATCATAGCCATCCAGGTAGCTTAGTTGGGGCAAGAGCTTGAAGACACTCTCTCGGTAGTCATTCAGGTCGGTGACCTCACAATTAAACAGATCCAGGCTTTTCAGACAATCCAATTTTTTCAAAGGCTCCAAGGTGCTGATATCTTTCAGTTTATTTCCACTTAAGTTTAGGTGTGTGAGATTTGGAAGTTTTTCTGCTAACATGTCCAGACCTCCAAAGATTTTATTGTCACTGAGCTCAAGCTTTTTCAATTTAGGTAATGTGGGGAGATTTGAAACTGAAAGCAAGCACACATTTATTAAACTGAGGAACTCTAGGTTTGCAAATTCAGCTGTTAAGCCCTCAATTTTTCCATCATTTGATTTGCAATTGTCCAAGACAAGTTCTCGAACAGCTCCTGGGGTCCGGTTCCTCAGCTCCAGGTGGATCCTCTTCTTCATGTCCATGTTCCCTCGTCCCCCCTCTTCAAACTTAACTTTCCGCGGCGGGGGCGGAGGGGGGAGAGGCGTCCCGGCCTGCGCGGCGAGGGCCGTCGGAAGGGGTCTGCTCGCGGCAGCGGCGGCGGCCGGCGTGTGCCGTGCGAGAGAACGAGCGGAGCGGAGCCCGCGGAGCCAAGTTACTGGCGGGAGCGGGGAGAAACCATGGAGGGAAAAGGGGGCTGGAGTGTAGCGGTGGCCTCACTACCGCCGCCCCCGGCCGTGGCCCTGCACTGCCCACTTGCCTATTTTTGGAATAGTTCTGGGAATACTCTTTCCTGAGTGGCTTCATGAAATGTGATCAAAAATGAGGTGAATGCTACTGCTGAGCACCCTCCCATGGAAAGGTGGCTCATAAGAACATGACGCTGTGTCCTCATCCACCTTAATCACTGGATCTGGCACTGAAACTTTTGGCTCATTCCCAAAGTCAAATTGGCCATGAAAGGGAAACATTTTGAGTCCACTCAGATCACAGAGGCAGCCAGGACAGCACAACTAAAGACCCTCAGGAAAGAGGATGACAGAGCTGCTGCAGAAAGTGGCAAGGATGATGGGATGTGTGCTCAAAGCCAAGGGAAGATTTTAAGAGGGATTCATGGCAATGTGGCTTTTACTGTAATAATAGTTTTCCACTACACCTTGTAATGAAGGAGCCTGCAGGGACTAGATGGTTCTTTTCCTATGATATTATCATGATTAATTATCATATTGATACTAATATGATATATAAAATAATATAAAGTATCAAACTACCATTGTGCTCCCTGTATCTGATCTGTACTACTGCTCTATGGAGTAGAAACAATAGCTGCCAAGTGTAGATGAAGTAAGTGAGTTTTGTAGAGGGCCAAGAACTTTCCAGAAGTCACCTGGTGGAGGAGCTGCAGTGAAGTATATCTCTATCTTATTTTAAATCTTGCATTTCTTGAAAGAGAGTTTGATGGGAAAGAAATATGGGAAGTTGCTAACATTAAGAGCTGAATAGGGGGAAGGCCAATTTCCCTGGGCTGATGTTTGAATTGAAAGGCTCTAGCTGGTGTGAGCCACAGTTAAACTGGCACCAATTAGAGTCAAGTGTAATGAAAAGTAAATACAGCTGAGCTGTTAGGCAAGCCACTCTGGCTCAACGTCTGTCAGCACTTCTAATCCGAAGGGAGTTTTTTTAAGGAATTATAAGGCTGTAAAAGTATGTGCTGGGGTGGGGCTTGACAGGAAAAAATGTCACCATTTAAATAGCTTTTCACATGCATTTTCTAAAGTTCCCTAGAATTGGTCTGCAATTTTAGTCATGGCATTAGCAACATTTAAATAGCCCAGCAAAGTTCTACTTGGCTTGCTGCTCCTGTGGAGCTCCCCTTATCTCTAGGAAGTCCACGATGCATGTTATTCCAGGGGACAGAAGAAAAGGATGGAAGGGCCCAGAGCAAGCCATGAGTGTGGATGTGGGGGAAGGTGTTAAACCTGCAGCACCAGGGTATTGGAGACCAACAACTATATTGTTACAAACAAGGCTGGAGCCTGGGAGCTGGCGGTAAGTCACAATCCCAAGAAGGTAGTTGCTGTAAATGCTCAAGACAGAGGACAATCAGAAGTTCTTTTTTTTTTTTTTTTTTTTTTTTTTTTTCAGAACCAGGGATTGAACTCAGACCCTTGCCCTTGCAGGGAAGCGCTTATTCTACTGAGTCATTTCCCTGGCCCCAGTCAGAAGTTCTTGTTCTGGTTTTAATGAAAGATTTCTGAGAAGAACTTGAGACCTGAAGATAAGGAACCATGGGAGAGATGCTGCTACTGCCTTTGCTTAGACAGAGTGTGAGTGCTGCCCAATCACTATGGGTTTTAATGAAATTTTGAATGGAATTATAACCTCGATACAAATCACAGTGGTTCAATATGAGAATAACGTGTGCAAAAGTACTTCTGTAGCCTCTAGTGGAGTATAGGAATGGAATGACAGATAATCGAAGAAGCTCTTGTTGATCTTCCTTTATGAATCCTCTCCTCATAGAAAGAAACATAAGACACAGAATCTACCAAAAAGAAAATCCCAAGGCAAAGTTGGATCAAAGGGTGGATGACAAATGTTCACATCTAAGCAGCCTGCTCCCAGGTCACCAGGAAGGACCTAGGAGAAGAGCTGACACTGGATTTCTTCCTGGCAGCCTCCCCTATATACAGTTCACTCAGTCATTGCCCATCAACATGGTCTTGGTATTTCTTGATATTTATTCTCTAATAACATCACAGCGAACACTCAGAGAAGAGAACATGAATGTCTTTGAGCATGGGGTCTCTTGACTCTGAGGGCCCTGCACAGATCCTTACTTTTGTAGATAGAAGCCTACATTTCTAGAAATTGCTGGGCCAGAAATGAGAAACACTGAATTTAGACTGCTCTCAAGTGGCCACGTGAACACCAAGTGTCAGAGAAGCAAATTGCTGATGTAAGGTTTTTACTTTACTGCAGAGAAACTTTGTAGGTGCATGCTGCGTGTGGGGTGTCCAGTGCTACCCTGGCTTTTAGCCCACGCTATGGCCATGTGTCTTCATAGGGAGGCTGAAGCTTTCCACTAAAGGTATCTCCACATCTTTTAACTCAAGATGCAGTTATTAACCAACCTCTCTGTTTTAACACTTGAGTGGCTGAAGGAACAATGATAAAGCCAAGTGTAGCCTAGTACACATCTGTACCTTGGAGAACCTGTCATTCAGTTCACTGTGGGCATAGCTTCCTCTCCCCTCCTCCTGGAAGACTTTGACATTTCTCTCTCTCTCTTTAAGTCCTTTTACTGTAGTGCTTCTTTCTCGACAAATGATCTGTCTTTATTAGACAAATTGCTACCATCTCCCTTTACTTCCCATCTGTCAGTCACAGTTTGCTTCCACTCATCCCCACCTATCTCTTTTCTCTAGACTCTGAAAATAAAGTTCCTGTCTTCCTGCATATTTATGTCTCCTCTCCTGATGTCTTTGACTTGAATTTTTAATTGTACAAATTCATTAATTTCCCACCATGCCTGCCTTTCCTGTATCTTAAATCACCTTTCTCTTGCTCTCTTCTCAGATAATTATATGGCTAAATCTCTCTCCCACCAAACCATGACCTTTGATGCTGCATTTCTCCTAACCTCTGCAATCTCTTTTCTTTCGTCTCCACCCAAACTTTTGAAAGAATGTTCTCCCCGTCCATCATTACCTCCCATTCACCCTTCAGTTCATTTCATCTGCCTCCCAGGCACTCTCCTCAGTAAATTTTAGTTGCCAAGATTACCAGCAATGTACTTTGGGCAAGTCCAGTGGATATTTCTAAATCATTTCTTATCTGTAAAATACAGATATTAATAGTTATGAGGTTGCTCAAAGGATGCAAGCATGGGTCTGCGGAAGCTTCTTGGTACAGGTCAAGCCCAAAACTCTCTAAGCATGCAGTCTATGTTTTCTCTTCCTTTTCTACCCATAGTTATTGTTTCAGGACCATTCCTACGTATTACGACACTTCATACTGCCCCCTGTCTAGTGTTCCTCATTGTCTGACCCTTCTTTCCACCCATAGGCCTTGGCCATTGTCCTTGTCCCAAGTAGATGTTCCTAGAATCTCCCTTGGACATATTCTCGTCTTTCTGTCCTTGACCTCCTCTGCTTGCTGATCCTGCCTGCATGACAGTAAATGTCATTTCTCCTTTCCAGGTGGCTGGACATCTCCTGTCCCATAGGACTGAGCACATAGATGTTGACACTTCCTGCCAGATCTAGTGGCTATCTTGACCGGTCCCTCTAGAGTCCTGGCTGATGTCCCCACATTGCAGTAAAGTGTGAATTTTGGCTCCAACCAGGACAACCCAATGTGTGGAGTGCATGTGTTTGTGTTCTATGTGTACATAGAGGTATATGTGTTTGAGTGTGTGTGTGTATATGTGTGTGAATGTGCCTCTGGACTCTGCTGCCTTCTGCTACAGATGAAGCACATTCAGCACTGGGGTACCTTGGTCACAGCTGCCACATGGCATGTGGCCACCTAGAGAGGAGGAAGAAGGGAGAAGAGGTTGGCTGAGGAGGCTCCTGAACCAGCCACAGGCAGAGCAGTTGAAGAACCTGTCTCAGTGACCTGAGGATCTTGGGCCTTATCTAGAAGAAATCATGACAGAGAAAACAGTATTATAAAGCCTGAGAGACTAAAGGAAAAGTTTATTTCCAAATTTCATTCACAATGCTAATTTCTTAGCTCTCAACTTTCCATAAATCAAAGTCAAATTGTTGGCACATGAAAATACCACATCTCTAAGACTGACAAAAAATAAATGTTCAGATTCTGGATTTAGACAGATCTGAGTTCAGATCTTGGCTTTTCTAGCTAACTAGTACGTTGGTGAACTTGTTTAACTTTTTTGAGACTTGGACATCTGTAACAGGATAACAACACTTGTTTGACAGTGTAGTCACCCCTGTATATGATGTCATAGAAAGTTCATAGTCCCTGGCACTAGGACCTGCCCAGGGGCCTCAGATACACCTTGATCCTCAAGAACCTCAGTGAATAATAGAGAGGAAAACAAGCACCAGGAGACTTTGGGGGTGGAGGAAAGAAGCAGGTCAGGTCTCACCAGGAAGAGAAGGACATAATTCATGGAAAGAAAGAGAGGGACCATTCAGGATGTAAGAGTCTGCAGGGAGTTCACGGAGATCCTGGCTGGATTAGCAGAGATGCAGGAGAAGCTCAAAGCACACACGTGCAACTTTCTACTTACGTCCAGCAGGCCTAGGGTGGAGGACAGAAGATCAGCAGCTAGACAAGCGAGAGGGAAGAGGAACTCTTGGGTTGTGGTCACCACTGAAGCAGGAGGAAGAAATGAAGAGCTTGAGCATATGGAAACCAAGGCCACAGCACAGTCCAAGGTTTTGAACCTTGTAGGAATACAGGAAGCAGACAGTGGGGCTAATATTTGTGATGGCTGAGCAATACACAGGTTCTTGGTAACTCAGACAGAACCATTTCAAAAGAATCATAGGCCTTGGACAAGAGAATGCCTAAATTTTTTAAAATGGAAGGCAAAGAGATATAGGTGATATAGGATTCTTGCTGGTGGTTTCTATATTTGTGTGTGGCAACATGAGTGCTATTTGCTTATAGTCAAAGGAACCTTGCACAGTGAAGTCTCTAGGAGAGGAGGAGCAATTCATGTGAGCTGTAGAGGGTGAGCTACAGGTACAGGAAGTGTGGTGGGATTTCCAGA